CTGGTTTAGATCAGGTTCAACGGGCTCACAACGTTTGGTATAAAAATGTTTTCTGTCAACTCAGGTTTAATCCGGATTTTGCGATTAACTCTGAAGCTCGTGCATCTGAAAGTGTGACACGTGCGGCAAACACTTGATTCACTTCTCGATGAAAACACTATAGATTGAACAGGCAAGAACTAGACACAGGGAGTATATAGCCTACTAGAACAAATGAGGGAGCTTGATAATTAATCAACAACAGAATGAAATAAGAGAATGAAACAGACATGAAAAAATATGTCAAACCGGAGCACAAAGCATGATCCTTACACTTACAATTGCATACTAATTTAAAAGCGAAGTTTAATATTAATTGTAAATTGATATAATAATTGTGTAAATATAATAATTGGCAGCAAAAGTATCTACATTTCTTTCACTCTAAACTGCTTTAATCTGGAGTGAGAGATACAGGGGGAGTGGCTTTATTGCATCAGATTATATCACCTTGCTCACAGCTGATTGGTCCAGTTTTGGTCTGCACTCTCTAACCCAGAATACCGGTAAAATCTGCTCTGGTGCAGGTTAAAAACAGGGTTAGGTTCTATGAATATGCAAATTAGCCCCGCCTCCACTCACTCGCACCAGCTCAGAGATCCACTCGTTGACGATCACACGATTGGTTACAAGGTAGTTTGTGACGTCAGAAACACCACGTTTTTGCGTTTTTGAAACTGCGTTTTTGAGATTGTCTTTGGTTCACTGCAGTTTTAAGGAGAAAATACTCAGCAATGGTGTTGACATGAATTTGCACATGGTTTGTCTTAAAGCATACTAAAAACACCACATAGACATATAAATAACACTAAAAACTAGATTTTTCACCAGGGGACTTTAAATGAAGTTTTATGTAACAAAGCTCGGGAGGAGCATGTTCAGGTAATCAACCAATCAACTCAAGAGGAAGCCGGTATAAATAAAGCTTTTCCTCACCTCCTGTCTCACGACAAGTCTCTCAGCATCCCTCCACCACCCCATCACCTCACACTCGGCTGGGTTTACCCCAGTATAGGGGGAGTACTCTGGGTTCGGGCAAAATTCCGGGCTCGGAGCCCTCCCCCGGACAGCAAGCCAAATACGCATTAATATTACATTTGATTTCATGTATGTGTGAACTCGTGTAAGGGACTTTGCTATTACTTAAAGGTGCAATGTGTAAAAATTTGGAGTATCTATTAACAGAAATGCAATATGACATCCATAACTATGTGTTCAGTGGTGTATAAAGAACTTACTTAATAAACCGTAATGTTTTTATTACCTTAGAATGAGACATTTATATCTACATAACCGCGGGCACCCCCTTCTATGAAGGTCGACATATTGTGACATCATGTTTCTACCATAGCCGAACGTGAACAAACAGCGCGTTTCGTCACTACCTTGAAAGAGAAGCCGCAGAAACCAGAAGCTAGACATAAACACCGTTTGTAGTGACTTTTCCCTTGTCAGTGGTGTAAAATGTGTAGTTGGACTGTTTCATGTAACTTAAATTTAGTTCTTCTCCCTCGCTGTGTTATGGCTTTGCTATGTGGGGATAAATGTGCTGGTTACGTTCGTGAGACAGCTGATTAGTACTCTTGTCATTGACCGTAAAACAGTATGTTACAGGGATCACTAACCCGTCGATCGCGGTCGACAAGTCGATCTTGGAAGCATTTTAAGTCGATCGCGGAGAGTTTTCGAAATCAGAGAAAAAAAAAAGCCTATTGTGTGTAGTAAATGGTGTCTAGGGGAGGCGAAGGCGCACGCGCTGTTACAATCATGTCATTTTTGCCGCGCGCACCTTTGGGCTCATGCGGACGCGTCGAGTTTAAACAAGGCTTTACGCTTTAACCAGCTCAGCCACAGTAACAGCTCATATTACAGCTAAACTTTTACTACCCTGTTAGAAAAAATATATAGTTGCATAGTTTCAAGTGGTTCTTCTCCCTCGCTGTATTGTGGGTTTGCTATGTGGGGAGAAATGTGCTGGTTACGTTTGTGAGACAATCAGCTGATTACTATTATTATATTATATATTAAGACCCTTGATCCTCACCTGACTATGGCTTTGTAAACTTTATCCATGATGTGGTTTTGGACTGTGGTACAGAAACAGTGACACTGTTACACACTCTTGGCTTACTCTGGCTATTCTCTGCTGTCTCAGACGACGATATGTTTGTCCCGTTTTAGCCACCGTAGCTTCTTCGAAAGGGAGGGGTGAGCAGTGGGCTGAGCCCTTAGTGCAAACTCGCAACCGAACCGCTAGATGTCGCTAAAAATCACACACTGCACCTTTAATGCATTGACAGCCATTTGAAAGCAAGAGCTGAGCAAAATTTGAAAGCAAGCACCTCTGTTAAGAACAAGAAGTACAAGGTGAAAATCATAGTCATTATTTTTGTAGTTATATTTTTGATATATAAAAATGATAAGGACAGTTTAGTCTTTTCCTGTACTGAATGTAAAATGCTTGAGCAGCACTGTTGCTATGGCTATGGAACATCTGATCACTGGGGTCTGTTTAGCGCACTTCGATAAACTTATAATGTACGTTTTGTGATTAATAAAAAGTCATTTAAATACATTTTTCAAGCATTTCAAAGCTATAATATGCATTACCTACTGTATTTATATGTTAAAATAAAACATACTTTTAACTCTTTTGCCCCCATTGACGGATGTACACATGTATTTTCCGGCTTTCCGTGTTGAAACTTAAACTTACCAACATTCAAGTGATGATAAAAATAAGCTAGGTGCGCCGCGTTCTCCTTTTTCCAAAGCGCTAGGGCGGTTGCGCTCCGGAGGCGTCTGTCGTTGCTGTGGTTGGTTCTTGTCACGTGACCTACGGTGCGCTTGCGGCATTCTGGAAAGTTGAGATGTTTTTATCTCGATACGGTGCGGACGCGCTTGGAAAAAACCATTCCAATCCACACCGCGCGCCTACATTTGAAATAACGAACTTGAGCGCGCAAAAGACGCGATATGTGAACAGGCCCTAAAGCTAGAATAAACCTTTTTTTTTTTAAGCAGAGGGTCTGTTCTTTTTTTGATATATTGCATGTGTAACTCCGAGCAGGATTCGAACTGTATTCTTCGGCGTGGTTGGCGGCCGCCTGTTGTGATCAGGGGAGTGAGGTTTACAACAACAAGAAAATATTCTGGGGTCCATGAAACTTTTATGAAAATGATCAAAAATGCTGGCGCTGGCTGGCAACTTTAAAAGAAATTCTGGCAGGGAAATAATTAAAGGCTTATTTCACCCAAAAATGTATTGAATAAATGAATAAATTACTCACCTTCATGTCGTTCCAAACCCGTAAGACTTTCGTTCATCTTCGGAACACAAATGAAGATCTTTTTGATGAAATCTGAGAGCTTTCTCTCCATAGACAGCTACATAACTGACACTTTGACGCTTCAAAAAGTTCATAAAAAAATTGTACAACTAATTCATATGAATTGAGTGGTTTAGCATAAATTTTCTGAAGAGACACAATCGCTTTATAAGATTGAATTTAGACTTTTATGCACATGTAAACATTTATCAGCGAACATTAACAGAAGCTCAACCGGAACAACATGGGGATGAGTAATAATAATAAAATAATTTACATTTTTTGGGGGGTGAACTATCCCTTTTAAGAAACTTTTAATCTGATTTAGATGAATTCTTTATGAACTTTCTTTTTTTTTTGGTATACATAGTTATATCATATAGCCTTTGAATGTTTGTCAACAAAACGCGTACAATGTATCTATTAAGTTTCCTTTACCCCTTAAGTAAAAGTAAAATTTACTGAATTTTTCTTTGGCAAGTTTTTGCACGCATATTTTTTCAAGTAAATTTCACATATGGAATTAAGTAAACTCTACTTAGCCTAACTAAGTTAAATGAAAGTAACAAAGAAAATAAGTAATTTTAACTTGGCTAGTAAAAAGTTGAGTAATATCTATTTAAAGTTTCCTTTGCAATACATTTCTCTCATACAATATAACATTGACTTAAACCACACTTTTTAATTTATGATTTTTTTTTTAAACATCTAAGTGATTGATACAGTCAGTATTGTGTAACATCATATCAACATGATTTAAATTAAGCATCAAATTGAACGCCTGAGACCTCAATACTTGGTAGACAATACACATCAATGATGGTAACATTTGATGGATCGTTTTCGTGTTTGAATGTGTCATTTTGAGTAGAAAATGAACTCCAAACAAGTTACTAATCCTAACAACAAAACCAATGATAAAACAGTGTAAATCTGTAAAACAGTGAAAAATCAACCTCATTAATTATTCAGTGATAGGACACTGAATAATTAGTCCTATCTGAATAATTAGTCCTAATTATAATTCCTATCCCAGTGCATGATGGGAACACAAGTATCAGAAAAGTTGAGTAATTTTACTTAATTTTATAATGTTGATATTTACGCTTTAATTTCTACACGCTTGAATTGAGTACTCATATAGAATTTACTTAGGTTTTTTAATTCTTGCCTGAACTATAACTTTTTCATGTAGATTACATTGTTTTTTCTGTAGTATTTCCTTCCCACAAAATCCTTTTATCCGTGTACCTGTAAATGAATAGGTTGAAAGGGGTCTAATTGGTAATGGAACAGTAGTGGAAGAGGGAAAAAAGGTTGGGGTGATGGACTAGAATCATAGATCCTGCGCTTTTCCCATGTTCATGAGGAGGATGGGTGAGTAAGCCTGGGAAATTGGTACCTCAGTGACGTCCACGCAGGCAATATTTTATTGCGGCAGCAGAACAGCTCTTCTACACCTAACGCGAGCTCAAACACAAGAGCTCCTGCCGGAGAAAACATGAACCTGTAAACGCCGTCAGTGTGATTTGGATGATCAGAAACACCATTTCTGATAATTAGCCTATTCTATTTTTGTTTGTTATGAAAATGTGAAAAATACAAAAATATTGAATGAGCAACTTCTCCTCCAACCCCGTCGCTGACTGTTGGACACCGGTAGCCTAAACTTTAAAGGATTTTTCAACCAAACTCTCTCTTCTGGAGAATCGATTAACCAAGAAAAAACTAATTGCAGAAGAGTTTGTTTTCACGACGAACCGTCAAATTAAGCTGACTTTGAAGATGAACATCCAAAACGGCAGTGATTTAGACAGACCTGAAGGAAACATAGGCTTAGAGGCACCTGAAAAAACCTTATTTGGAATCGGCACCGACAACTTCGTCACGCTTCTGATCTTTGGACTCATCTTTTCTCTAGGGGTCCTGGGAAACTCTCTGGTTATCACTGTTCTGGCTCAACGCAAACCTGGACAGCAACGAAGCACCACCAACATCTTCATCCTCAACCTCAGTGTGGCAGATCTGTCCTATCTGCTCTTCTGCATCCCCTTTCAGTCAACCGTTTACATGCTGCCCACATGGATCCTGGGTGCCTTCATTTGCAAGTTCATCCACTACTTTTTCACAGTGTCCATGTTGGTGAGCATCTTCACCTTATCAGCCATGTCGGTGGACAGGTATATCGCCATAGTGCACTGCAGAAAATCCTCATCCATTCGAGTTGAGAGGCATGCATTAATCGGGGTGCTGATCATATGGGCGCTCTCTTTCGCCATGGCCACTCCGGTTGCCTACTATCAGGGTATCGTGGAAAGTGATGACAACAGCACGTTTTGCTGGGAAGTGTGGCCAGATCACAGCAGGAGGAAAATCTACGTCGTGTGCACTTTTGTCTTTGGATATGTGCTGCCGTTGATTCTGATATCTTTCTGTTATGCTAAGGTTAGTAGCTCGTCTTTTATTTTGGCTTGATTATGAATGTTTGCATGTAATGTGCTTTGATTATAGTCATTTAAAGGAAAATGAAATGTGGATTTGGTTTAGAATCTGTTAAAGTAGCCTTGAAAAATAAGGTGTCCAAAATTATTAAAAAGCAGGAATCTTATTTAAAACAGATGTGGCAAGTTAGATTAGTCATGTTTAATATATATATATATATATATATATATATATATATATGGTTTCCTGAACAAAACATAAGGAAAAAAATGGCTGGGTTTATTTTGTATTATATATTTTTTATTATTATTAATGTTTAAAACAAAATTGCTTCACTTCTTCCACTTCTTAATTATGTTAAACTAATTTTCTAACATTTAATTTTTTATTCTTTTACCAGCTAGATCTTTTTTTTTTTTTACTTCAAGCCACACAAAATATATCAAAAATAAATATTAAGAAATTGTAAACGTTATAGAAAATGTGTATTCAATTCACTTGTATCAATAGTATTTTTTTTTTTTTTTTTTTTGGTATATTTAAATAACTCAGACAAAAAGTGTGTCAAATCATTGACCCTTCATTCACATATTTTAATTTCAAATTATGATGTGCCAATGTGTCTTTAGGTCCTGAATCATTTGCATAAAAAGTTAAGAAATGTCTCCAAAAAGTCGGAGGCATCAAAAAAGAAGGTAAGAAATATTAAGAGTGCTTGCTTCAAATATTACAATATAATATCATCTTGTGGTTGTTCATTGTTGAATTATTAATTGTTGATTATTTTGTAAAAACCCAGCACAAATGTCTCTCCACCTTTCTTGACAGACTGCTCAGACAGTTCTGGTGGTTGTGGTGGTCTTCTGCCTGTCCTGGTTGCCTCATCACGTGGTGCACCTGTGGGTCGAGTTTGGCTCCTTCCCCCTGAACCAGGCATCCTTCGTGCTCCGCGTGGCGGCTCATTGTCTGGCCTACAGCAACTCGTCTGTTAATCCTGTTATTTATGCGTTCCTCTCGGAGAACTTCAGGCAGGCGTATAAGCAGGTTTTCCGTTGTCAGGTGGCTTCTGAGTGCCCTACAAATGAGGCAAGAGAGATGAAGGCAGCACCATCCACCAACTGCACCACTGTGTAATTCCTGCAGCTGTTAAGTTTGTCGTCATTTATGATAGCTTAAAAATGACTTAAAGCTGAGTTTTTAAGCTTGGGAGAAGGCAAGAAGATTGTTACATACTGATTTAGATTGATAAGAATTTAACTTGGTTAGAAATTGGCCAATGTATTTGTTATATGCTTGGTCGGAAGGGATTCATTTTGACATGTTACTCGACGATGCATTTCTTCGGAGAGCAGTCGAGACCTTGCTTAGCACCTGCTTTGAAGCCATAGTGATGTAAGGTCTGTAAATATGTGCAATCAAAAAAGAAAAGAAAAAAAGGTGAGGGTTAAGGAGGGTGAGGATCTGGTTTTCCTTTTCCTTCAGGCACAATAGTCTGAAATGTAATCAACTGTTACATTGAGCCATGTTATAATTGACTTTCAAATCTATCAAATGCTTGTTTAGTAGCGTTTTACTAAAAGTACTGTAAAATACTATAAAATATCCTAAAATATATTATAAACAAAACATGTAATGCATGAATAATGCCTTGTATTTCATCTCATAATGCATTGTATGCTCTCATGAATAATGTTACACCTTTAGAAAGTATAATGCATTAAAACACGTAACAAACAACCAATTTCAGATGTAACAAGGAATCTGCTAATATTACAATGCATTTTAATTTTGGTTACAATTATTTATGAAAAGATATAATGCATTATAACGCACATTGTGATACATTTATAAACCATTATACACAAAAACTTTAAGTAGGCTAACGTGTTTTATATAAACATCCTAAAAATCAGTGTTGGCGAAACGGTGTCAATCACCAGTTGGCCGGTTTTTATAAACATTTTTATCAATTCTAACAAGGCTGTGAGAGCATGAATGTGAACAAACGTGAACAACGCTTGGGATAAAATATATTTATAGCATATAAATATTACTGGAACCTGAAAATGCTGGTCTTGAAAATGTTTTAATGCTTGTTAAATTGCATATATATTTATTTTCTTTTGCACTCTCTCTCTCACATATATATAATTTCTGAAATCGAAAAATCACTGGTCTTGAAAATGTCTCATAACCTATTATATGTATGATTTTATACCGTACATCACATGACAAAGATGAAGGAGGTTCCAACACGAGTTTAATCTCTTGGCAATTCATAGTATTTTACAAGGTGGCTAGTCAGCCCGTTCTCATCCCAAGGCGTCATCTAACTGACGCTTTTGACCATGCGTCAACATGCCGACGCACATGGTACCCCTTAAGCGTCAATATGAGACGCGCCTCCTAGTGGTCTAACCCTAACCCTACCCCAGACCTAAACCTACCCATAACGGAAGCGTCATCTAACTGACGCTAAAGGGTGCCATGTGCGTCGGATTTAGACGCATGGTCAAAGCGTCAGTTAGATGACACCCGAGGATGAGCGTCTCATATTGACCCTTAAGGGGTACCATGTGCGTCGGCATGTTGACGCATGGTCAAAAGTGTCAGTTAGATGACGCCTTGGGATGAGAATGTGTTGGGCTAGTACGAATTTGTACGATTTTTGCTAAATCGTACATATTTTACGAGTTGCCCAATTCGTATAAATTCATACGAATGACCTACCCCTGACCCCGCCCCTAAACCTACCCATCACTGGGGTTTGGACAAATAATCGACTCGTACGAATTGGTCGTGAGATAGCGTACCCACAAGGTTAACAGAACAACACACAGAAAATGTGAACGTGACCAGACAGAGAGGGTACAACTTAAATAGGAATTCAAACAAAATGATTAATAGAACACAGTTGAACCAAACAAACTCATAATGACGGTGACCGTGGTAACAAAGGAGTGGCGGGAAACTCAAACAAAGGAACGCATGAGAAATGAGTGAAAACAATCTAAAAGTAAGACAAACTGAACATAACTGACAGTATCATCATCAAAAGAATTGTGTACATGAGTAGGCCTAGTTCTTAAAAATATGTGTCTTTTTTTTTTAAGATCCCACATAAATATAACATTCATCGGATCACAAAGGAAAGCAGTAGCCTATACCTGGAGACGTCTTCACATCAAATCCTCCAGCCACATAACACATAAGCCCATTAGATGCAGCAAACCAGCCACTTGAAGTTTAATTAACGGCCTTTATTATTAGGATTCATAAGTGTTCTTAACTTTGATGGAAACGCAGAAGCTTAGCCTTATGTATATGCTGTACATTAAGTTCACATTGAATAAAAAAATCTAATTGTAAGACTCACGAATGACCAGGGTCACGGAAAGATGCCTTTTATCTTATCGTCTCAATAAGAGACCAGACAAAATTACCCTTTGTGGCAATTGTACCTGAATTACTGATAATGGAATATAAGAAGGCCATGTGAGGCAGCATCATCACGATCCCTCAACTCTCAGAACGGAGGAAGGATTCTCAATGTGCAATATTGCAGATTTATATTTTGCTGTGAAATTGATAAATATATCTGCATGTTTTGATCATGTGTATATACTTTGTGTGTGTGTGTTTGAGTAAAGTTCTTTTATGTGCTGTAAAGAAGAGTTTCTGTCTCAAAGTATCCTGCTTTTGGTCGTCATGGAGACAGTGCAGTTCCTGAGTGAGCAACAGGAGTTGTAATTGTCCATCACTGGTTTGTGCGTGTGATAGGTCACGGTGATCCACAAAAACACTTGCTTCTCAAAGCTTCTATCCAATATGGGAGAACAACAGTTTGTTCAGAAGGGTGCAGAAAGATCTCTAATCTTGAGTTTTATTTCAAGTAATTTTAAATATACAGTATATATACATCTAAAATTCATAAGTATACATAAATAAATAAAAGCCTTTGAATTTTAAGGTTAGGTTAGGCCTACATGCCCTTATGGCAAAAATCATTACTGGGTCAGAGTATACTGTACTGTAAATGATGTGGTAATATTACAAAAGGATTTGCCAAAAGAGGGTATTTTTCTCTTTTTTGTGATCATATGCAATTTGTAACTTTTGTAACATCCTCTGACTATGCTATTTTCAAAATCCAAAATTCAAGATTTTAGCCTCAGGGCCTCTCATGAGGGATCACATGTGTGTGTGTGTGTGTGTGTGTGTGTGTGTGTGTGTGTGTGTGTGTGTGTGTGTGTGTGTGTGTGTGTGTGTGTGTGTGTGTGTGTGTGTGTGTGTGTGTGTGTGTGTGTGTGTGTGTGTGTGTGTGTGTGTGTGTGTGTGTGTGTGTGTGTGTGTGTGTTTTTCTTCATGTTTTCACGTTTTTCTATCGCGTTGGGGACTTCAACCTGAATGCACACTGACTGATGGGGACTAACCTAAATTGAGGTCCCACCCATGAGGAAACAAGCTTATAAATCATACAGATTGAGGTTTTTTTATGTAAAAATGCAGAAAGTTTTCTGTGATTGGTAGGTTTAGGGTTAGTGTAAGAGGATACAATATACAGTTTGTACAGTATAAAAAACATTACGTCTATGGAGAGTCCCCACAAAGATAGTAAACCAGACATGTATACCCTATGTTATGGGGACAAAGGTGGCAATATCCGAAATCCTTGACATTTTGGGGACATTTTTTGGTCCATTTGGCCATTTGTTCTGTTCCCAAAATATTTCGCTGGCTTACACAAGTGACACTCTGAATAATTTTAGAGGTTACATTTATAGGCTACTACATCACCATTTTATACATGGAATCAAATGTTAAATGATTTGAGTAACATTCTAGCCTTCAATTGCACTGTCATCAAATTCTCTGGCAGTAATCAACATGAATTAGGTTTTATCTGATTGGATATGTCCATTGGCTTTTTTGTCAAGGAGCTCGCTTTTTATATATGGATTATAGAGGGAAACTCAGAATTAGTCAAAATATATATATATAAATAAAAAAAGGAGCAGTCCAAACATTATTGCATAAAATAAAATCATTGCATTTTCATAGAAATGTTGTATAAAAAAATCTTGCAACAAAAAAAGTTGCTATATTATGTTACACCAGCAGAGGTCAGACTTGCACAGCATTTCAAAGATTGCGCTTCACATTTTGTAAAACCCCTCTAGAGATTCACTCAAGTGTCGTTTTAGTGGCACTAGAGTCGTTAATATAACCACTAATCAAACAGATTAATCTAAAATTATAATAATAAAACATAGCACTCATATTAAAAGTACACTTCAAACTGTAACACAATCTCCTCCTCCGCTTATAAACACAATACGCCCTCGCCTCAGCAACAGATATGTTTTATCAGTGTTTTTAAAGGCTCGAGAGGGCGGAACGGAATTCTTTAATCCCCTTCAACGGTTTTTATGTAAAACGGTGGTAACAGAAATATGATAAAACAATGTTTATTCAGTAAGTAGCAATCTTAATCAGAATAAGCTTTTTTTTTTTTTTTTTTCAGTAGCCTAACTGTAAGTCGTTTAACACGGTTACTAAGCAACGTGGCAACCTGGCGCATTAACTTAATAGGCTAATTATAATTTAATTCTTACATTTGCAGGTTTGAGTAGCTATTTGGGATATTTCACAATGGTTTCGAACGCGGCTCATCAAGTCTGAAATATTTAGCTATAACAATTAAGGAACAAGTATTTTAGACTAAAGGGCGGCCGTTGCGCGGAGGTCTGTTAGGCTACTAAATTATAAATATATTATTTAAATATATAGGCTATAATGTAAATATGTTCACTTAACAGTATAGCACCTTAATCCTTAAATAAACTTCAAGGTAAAAATCACAGATTTTCATTATAGTATTTTTTGTTAATTATGCCTACCACTCTTGCTATCCCTATAGGATTAGCCTATAAGAAGGTTACAGGCGTTGGAAGTTTGGGCTATTTACAAGATCTGAGCACATGAATGACAAATATAAGGGGCGTTTGACTGTAAAGCAATTATAGGCTAATGAATGATTTTGCAATGAAGTTTTTTTCCATGTTGTATTTGAATAAGGCTAATACGAAAAGAGCTCACTGACAATCAATATAAACGTTAATAACAAAATAAATACAAAACAAATGTTTGCTAAATAAATGTTTTTGTTAGATACAATACATAATTGGGTTCCATATACACACCCAACGCATAATTTTAA